GGGGCCAAGCTCTTTTCAGTGGTGCCCAGTGACAGGACAAGGGGCAATGGGCACAAACTGAGGCACAGGAAGTTCCGTCTGAACATGAGGAAGAACTTCTTCCCTCTGAGGGTGACGGAGCACTGGCCCAGGCTGCCCAGGGAGGCTGTGGAGTCTCCTTCTCTGGAGATATTCAAGACCCGCCTGGACGCGGTCCTGTGCAGCCTGCTCTGGGTGACCCTGCTTGGGCAGGGGGTTGGACTAGATGACCCACAGAGGTCCCTTCCAACCCCTACTATTCTGTGATTCTGTGATTCTGTGATTTTTCTTTACCTTAATCCTACAAAGACTCATTAAATGCAAAATAACCTTTACAGGCAGCAAGGGAGTATATCAGGCGTCCAAAAACTGTACAGTTATTCATTTGGAGGCTAAATTTTCCAAATGATTACAGCCCACGCTAGTCAGTTTTATTCCCAATTACTGCCAAAAAAATCTATTTATAGGATGGTTGCTCCCAATCAAGGGACGACAGGTAACGTCAGAGAATGTAAAGAGTGGAGGAGAGCAGTCGAGATACACCGATAATTAGTGCCTGAAGGGAAAGCAATTCACTTTGCCTGGTATTCTCATTCAGTCAACTGCATTTCAACAAACCTAGCAGAGATGTGTTCTATGTACTGATTGCAACTGCACAGCAGAAGCACTTCATGTTGCGGTGACTTGGTTTAAAAGCAAGATTGTACAAAGATTGTCCCACATAAGTCCAGGCCGTTATTAAAATATGTCTTGTGAAAATACCGTAAAAGGTTTGGTGTCATAGAGACTGCTCAACTAGTTAGCATAAGCTTGAAGGTATTACTGACTGTGAAAAAGGGAACAGAACAGTGGATTTCTACAGATGAGAGTGCACAAAACAAGGAAATGCAACTGCTCACACACCCAAAGCAGCGTTGACTCGGCGGTGCTGAACACAGCGTGTGTTTATGTTTTATGCACAGCTTACGATGTAAGCTGCAGTGTACTGAGGCGTATTTCATCAGAGAAAAATGGGAACATCATCCTGGTGCCTCCCTCTTTCTGCTTGCTGCCCTTCTGTGGTTTTATCTTGGCATCAGGAAGTTTCCCGACTGTATCTGGTTGTTTGCTTATTTACAAGAAATGGGGAAGGTCCGTGCCATTTTCTTGCACTTCTCCTATCCCAGTTAGGTTCACTCTCTTTTATTTGGAGCTAATTAGTAATTTGAATGGCTTGAAGCCTGGAGGTAGTTTTGCAGCACCTCAGCTTGCAGGAAACTGCCTTATCCATTCGTCTTGTCCTGAAAACACTTGTCCCCTACCAGCCTCCACCCCCAAGATTAAATAAAAATACATATTTGAGCTAAGCAAGTGCTATTTCCCATTTATATTCAATACAAAGCTTCATTTAGATGTTCAGAAATGATTCAGCAGAGACAGAAAATGTGTCAGCGTGACTGCAGAGAGCAGCAGGATTTTATTGTATTGTCCCAAGAGCGGCTCGGAGAAAGAGCTGTAAATTACACCCTGTTTCGCTTGCTGTGTTCCTTTCTCCGCGTTCAGGGAAACCTCCCAGGCCCCCCCAAACCGCGGTCATTCTTGTCTCCAGAAGCAATTTGTTTCCCTCTCTGCTGCGGTGGACGCGTCGCATGAAGCCCTGACGCGTTCCCCTGCCAGCTGCGGTGAGAGCCACCCGTCCGGCTCCGCGGGAAACCCCCGACCTCCCAGGGGTGTACGGGGGGGACTTCGGTAACCCGTGGAAAACAGGGCAGATCTTTTTTCAGCTGTGATACCCTCGGCTCCCAAAGCCTGGGCTGGGTGCTGGTGTGGCACCCGTGGGGAAGGCTGCAGCCGTCTCCCAGCACGGAGCGTCTGCTCTGCGTTTGCTGGCGCGTCGGCGTGCCCAGCGGCATTGCACAGGCTTCGTGGGAACAGCAGCATCTGAATGCATTACATCCACATGGGGAGAAAGTAAATATTTTGCTTTTATTCAAATTTGACTGAGGGTCCGGAGCCGGCGAGTGGTGGGCAGTCTGCAGGCCGGCGCGTCGGCAGCTCTGTTCGACGGAGGC